AAAAAAAAAAAAACTGTCTGAGTCTCAACACATTATATGTTGGAAGAAGACAATATATTATTTTTCAAAACTAGAGAAGAGTATGAGTCATCATCTGAATAATTCTTCTGTGGCTCACAGTGGTTATACTATAAAGGCTCAATAAATAAACCTATGCAATAGCTGTTCATAAAGTACTGAGCATTTCTTTATCACTTAGGTAGAAAAAAAGCCCTCCCAGTATGGTCTTTCACCAGATAAACACTTCGCATGTCACTGTTTTATCAGCGATTGGAATGTCCGAGGGGCTCCTGGACCCAAAAATAAACCTCACATCATACCTCCGTAACTGTATTTGCTGTAAACGGCTGACAGACATGAAAATGAGAATGAGCGTGTGTGAACAAGATCTATGGTGTTATACTATATGACACATCAGCAGCAGAGTAGTGCTCAGGATTCCCCTGCATCCTGGAAATTTATAGAGTATTTTCCCTGTTATGGAAAATAAATGAGAACATGGATACACTGTCCTGGAAATATTAGTGAGGTTTTCTAAAGTTAGCACATTAAAGTAACTGAGATTGAGTAATTGAAATGATCAGCTGGCATCATACAGTTAAAAGTCTGACTCCTACACTCTTAAAAGTCTGTCGTGAGATTTCTTTGGTTTGTCTTTCCGAGGAAACCTAAAGATTTCCCCTTCCGAGAGAATTAATCTTTCAAGTAGGATTAACTACGCAGCCCTTGAAGAGTGTAGGTTATTCTTGAAATCTGACCTGGTTATATTTATTTGGTTCTGTATTGATAGGTGATTTAGATTAATTTAACCAGACACAGGTCCATAACTGTGATCCTATACACTTCATTTTAGTTTCAGTAACACTTGTGATCATCAACTAATTGCTCGAGGAATGGTTTGTTTGTGCGTCCGTGTTTCATTCAGTCAGAGAGGCATCCTTAGAGTTTGCATTGTTAAGTTTAACATAGTTGTTGGCAGATGTGAGTCATGATAAGATTCTGAGCAACAACCGTCATGTATATAAGCTATAGGAAATAATTTCCTGAACAGATTGGCAACCCTGACAGTCCAACATTCGCACATCAGTGGAACTACTCTGTCAAACCTTTTTTGCAGGTTAACATGCAGTATAGGTAATTAATGTGTAACATATCATCAAAACCCAAACTGTGATTGAACACGATGCCAGACTTTGCTTCTATTTCATGTCAAACGAACTGATACAAATTAAGGGGCTGGAGAAAGAAAAAACACATCACATGGTGGAAATGAGAAAGAATGGGAAATTATCTCATTCCCAGTAATGAAGTTTATGAGAATGGTTTATAGAAAAAGACAGCCATGACTCATGCAGGCTATTTTAACTCATAGCTGCAAACCATGTTGTTTAGGGCAATAATAAGGAAGTCATCAAGCAAAAGGCAAGGGATCCATAATATATTTGTCTAAATGTGTCTGTTAGAATAATTTGAGCTTCTTATTGAATTTATTCTACTTCCAGGCCTGAAGGAGTTTGGTCAAGGACTATATCCGGCCCCTGGGCTTTCTATTGTACAGACCTGCTTTAATGTAATTGTGTATATCTCTTACTCATGAAAGCTAGTGAATGCTAGTGGCTGAAAGCTGATCAGGAACAAGCTGGTGATTGCCTCAGTGAACTAGACTTATTAAGTTAAAACAATAAAAGCTTTTGTAAAGCACTCTATCTAATGTATTGCTGCAAGTTAATGCAACTAAATGCAGCTGAAATTGAAGTAAAGGCAGCTGACAAATGCAAATTTAGTTTTATAATTCCCTGTGCTGTTTGAAGAAAACTTGAGTACTACATTTAGTACCATGTACCATGTTATTTTTTTCTTTTGTGTAGCACTTGACTGCTATTTAGAATATTCTCTCTGGTAATACTTGCCATAAATAGGCACTGCATCCTTTAATACCTACATTTTTCCAATAGATACATCCCTGACTTACAATTCTCCTTATATGCAATGTTGATTCAGTGTGTGTTAAACTCACGCATGATCTCGCGGATGGTGACAGCTTGGGGCAGCTTGGCAGGAGGACTGGGGCCAGCCATATTATACGCCCGTACACGGAACTGCATCTTCTCTCCTGTAGGCAGGTCACGGATGATCACAGAGTTCCTCTCTGTAAGACCCTCAAATGCTGGAATCCACTCATCAGCTAGATAAAATGTAAAACAAAGCAAATGTCACAAGTCTGCGTAAAAAAATGCCATTAGTCTACACAGAAGCAGTGCTCCAGGTTTTTTTATTCCAATAACTTTTACACCATTCTTCTGTTCATAGAATGCGCTAATGTTAGTCGGAAGAATTGTTTACTGCTAGCATTATTAATATTATACATTTGTCCATTTCGGGTTGTGCCTAAGAACGCCCTTACCTGTGACTGTAACACATCCTCTCTCATGGCTTATTGCTTTAATCCAGAACCAATCAGACAGTGTTCTTTATAGATCAAACTGACCAACCCAGGATTACCTCTAATTCACATTCACACAATTGCTTCAATGAGATCTTAAGTGCCTTTTATCTGCACACACTGCGTTCAGGAAGGATATTCCCGAAAAACAGTAATCTTTCATATTAAGACTACGAGGCTGAAAAAGTACAGAAAATAACACTTGTGTATGGTTAATTATGTCATAATTAATTAATTAATTGATTAGTTGAAGTAGCTAGTCAAGGTGATACTTAACTGAAAGTTAGAGTGTCTGTACTTAAATCTGCTTACGTATTTAAAAGTAAAAATGAACTGAACTGAAAAATGAACTATAATTAGACATTGGGATTTTTTTTCTTTCAACATAGACTTGTTTGCAAATTCATAACATTCAAATAAAGATACACCACTTAAGGGACAGGGTTACTATTCATAACTTTTACCGTGACTTGTATAAAATCAAAGAAAAACCAATCAAGTCATCTGTATTTGTTTTTGAATTCATACAAATTTCTCTAGAACAAAAGCTTTTTTTTTTTTCCCCCCATTAAACAACTTCCATGAATAAACAGAGCAGTCCTTGTGCAAAGATTATTGTTTGTGGTATTCATAAAATTGACATAGATTTGACTAAATAGAAATAAATTAAGATTAAAAGCACAAAAAGTGACAAACTTTAAGATTTGTAACAATTATTTTAAAGGTCTAAATAAAAATGCAAGGAGTAAAAAGTGTAGGGTTTTTTTTGTGCAGTGGAGTTCAGGTATTCATTTTCAGTGACGCTCTCATTCTGCAATAACACTTACACAGATACACATGAAACCTTCACAGTCACACACTTACTGCCTTCCTTGCAGTATTCGACCCCATAGCCATCTATAGGAGCAGAGCCTACTCTCTCTGGAGTCCTCCATTTCAGAGAGATCGTGGTGTCACTGATGTCATCCACACACAGACCGATGGGCTCACTGGAGGGGGCTGAGGGAAAACACACAGGTTGAACTGAATTTAATGGACAGCAGATGTTGAGAATTGGTACTTGGGAATTTTATTAATTTAAGTTATTGTATGGTTGTAGTAGTCTAACCCGAGTGTTTAATTAAAACCAGTGCATTTGAGTCCAGCAGGACTATGATACTTGACCTAACCCTAAATCTACTGTACTCTATGAAACTCACAGTGTAGTTATATAGTTACAGACTATAGTTCAGCTGTGTCAAACATACGGTCCGCAGGCCACGGCAAGCCCAGTAAAGGTTGTAATTCAGCCCACCAAATACATTTAGAAACCATGTTTTAAATTAAATTAATCTTATGGACTGTAATTGAATTGAAAGATTTGAAAAAGAGCTAGTTTATATTACATTAGGGGGCAAAATAGAGCAATAAACTAAGAGCCATAACTCTGCTACTGACAATACATGCTAATGATATATAATCCTTCTTTAGCAAGCTAAAATTTGATGCTATCAACATGTCTCTTTCCAAAAGAACAAATTTAGGATTCATTTAAATTTTTTATTTGCAAATAATTTTGCAAACTAGGGTTCCCTGGTGGACTAGTGGCTAGCATGTGGTGCTCTCATTGCCGTAGTCCAGGTTTGATTCTTGGTCAGGGAACCAGCCCCAGCCACTGGTGGGTTGCACGAGCCAATACACTCTCAGTGCCGGTCCCAAGCCTGTAAATGGGAACGGTTGCGTCAGGAAGGGCATCTGGTCTAAAACTTGTGCCAGAATTAAAATATGCGGACGAGTGATCTGCTGTGGCGACCCTGAACAGGAGCAGCTGAAGGGGGGGAGGATTTGCAAACTAGATTGTTTTTTCCTCCATTATATGTCAGTGTTCTGAGCTATTGTTTTTTTTAAAGATTCCTGGACATACAAAAAGTGGAAAATGTTCAGTCTGTAGCTTTCAGATAAATACCCATAAACTAACATATTTAAGAAGAGTTGTTAATGTGTCTACTAAACTCTTATTTCAGTCTGGCCCTACTGACATTGTACTAAGTGTAACTGTGGCCTGTTACCTAAAATACGTTTGAGACTCCCACTGTAGTTAGACTAGTTATAGAAAATTCACCACACCAAAGTAGATCAAAAGACTATAATTGAAAATTTAAAAAAAATTGGGGGGCTCCAGTATAAACATGGTGAAAGCAGGCATAATAAAGTAAAGCTCTGTTATACATAAAGCCTACTGTAGATCACTAAATTTAAATTTCCAGTAATATTTGGTTTTTGGATTTGCCTATTCACAGTAATGTAAATACAAAACAGCTTGATGTATATTTTTAGAGTGGAAATCTGCTCTGCAATGTACATTCACTAAAGCATATCAGAGAAATAAAGCACTGAGTTGCCTAGTAACTAAGCTACCAAAGACTAAATAGAGAATCAAAAGTCTTTGCTATATGGATTTACTAGGTCTTGTCACCAGGATTTTTTTTTTTTTCAATCCTGTGCTCTTCCAGTAGTGAGTTGGAGGACAAGGGCATGGAAACTATTGGGGCAATAAAACCCAGAGGTCCAAGTCTGGTACATCTAACATTATCTTCCAGCCAGCCTTCGTGGCCTTCAGCTGCCCATTATAGTTGAGCATATCTGCCATTGTTTGAATAAGCACAAGTTAAACTTGGGCTAGTGCTGATAAGGACCTCTCTACGATATAGATGCTGTTAGGGGCATGCTGCATTCAGGACAGAAATAGTTTACGGCATTGTCACGTCAGGCTCAGGTATTGTGACAAAATTGCAGAATGCTGGAGGATGGATTCCTTAGGATTAATTCGATAAATAATAAAGAACCTTTGAACAATTGAAAGGTTTGTTGTAAGTATGGGAAAACTAGAAAACGTATGGAATTTAAAGGCATCCCGTTTTAGATGTTGCATAGTATGGAAATTCAGAAAACGTTTTTGGAATATACTCTTGTCAAAGAAATATAGGCGCAAGACTCTAATAAATTCTAAATCTGAAGATATTCCAATGATACATTACCAATTCTCTTGTTCTCCACAATTTTTTTGCTTCAATTACTGTTAACTGCCTTTAAAACAGAGCATTGACTGGAAAGTTTTTAAAAAAAATCAACCTGGAAAAAAGTCTTGATAAGGTCAGGAAAGAGTATTTAACCTATATTTGGTAATCTTTCAGTGCTCCAAACTGGAATTTAAATTTAAAACTGCAGCTTCTTTAAATCAAAATGCTTATTTTCCACTGAATTACCAGTTGTTGTTTTTTTAAGTATACTGTATACAGCATAAAAAATACAATAGTTATATCCAGCAAAGTCTATGAGTAGCCTTTTGTTCATAGTGATGAATGCTTGAGTTATAGCTTTGCAGCAAGTGACACAATGATGCTAGCAATGCAGCCTCTTCTACTAAATACACCCCTCTATGGACACACATTTTTTCCATTCGAATATTTCGGAGAAAGTCATTTTGATGAATCAACACTGGCTAGTGAAGACTAGTTGGTAACACAGTATTCAATGCCAAGTCAGCCAATATGAAATCCTGATCTAAAGACGATATTCCTGCAGATATGCCTAAGTCTACGTAAACCCAAGACATGCATTCACTTGCTTTCCACAAGGACAAGCAGAATTAGAATGAGATGCCTACTGCCAACAGGTTCTGGCTCTGGTTCAGGTTCAAGTGGGGGGGCAAGTTCCTCAGCCGGAGGTGCTCCCTCCTCTCCTGAAGGTGCCCCCTCTCCTGGCACCGCTTCTCCATCCGCACAAGGTGCAGGAGCTTCTCCTTCTGCAGGAACAGGTTCCTCAGTTGGAGGAACAGCTGCTTCAGTGGCTGTATCTTCTGGAGGAGATGCTATTACCTCACTTTCCTTGACTTCTGCAGGGGTATCTGCAGGAGGATCTGCAGGAGCATTTGCTGGTGCCTCGTTGGCCGACTTTTTCTCCGCAGTTTTTGGAAGCATAGGCTTGGTCATTCTGCCGGTGGGTCACTTTGTCACTGCACACTGGTGTAATGTCCCTTGAGGCTTTTGTAAATACTCTCTCGTCTGGTCTGTGAACCTGGCTGCCTTTTGTTCAGGCCTTTCCCTCTCATCTGCTGTACTCCTCTCCTGTCTTGTACTGTCCTGTCCTCAGGGTCCTGTGATCAGAATTGTTGACAGCAGCAATGACTAAGCTATGCGTCCTCCCCCCTCCCCTCTGTAGTCTAGCGGCCTGTGTGCACCATACGCTTGGCCATAACCTTACGCTATCATGCCATTATTTATAGATGAGGGTGCCAAAAATAGTTTCCTAATCTACTGTATTGTGCTGGACGTCACACTGCACTGATAACTTTTAAGACCATTTGCACCAGATAAAATAAAGGGACAATGAGGCAATAAAATTCCTATCACATAGAGATAAATGGACAGACTTGTGTCTTTAAGTCTTTTAAGCTTGGGTAGATATCCTGAAAAGGGTCTTATTTTAGGCACTGAACATCCACCCTCCAAAGAGATGACAGAGCCTTGAAACAGTGGTATGATGACGTGTGGCTGAGCGGCTCCAGGTGGCGAGAATAGAGCAGCATCCCTAAATTGGCAAGCAGATGAAAGAAGGGTCTCCTTGACAGTAACATGCTTGGCACCACCTCATACATACAAAACCCCTCCTCTCTTACACTCTAGCATTCTGCTAAACCAGCAATAATAGCATTCCTGGACACAAGGAACAATGGTTAATTTAGCATTCTTCAGTTTTCTTGATTTTCTGCCTGGCTTACATGCCCAAATTTTGGCATAAATCATGCTCCGATGTTTTTTCAGCCTAATCTCTAAGATCTACAGCGGTTGTAGTACTTAGGTAATTACCTCAGGCAGTAATTTCAGTGTGTTTCCTTGTACTGAGAAACAAACATGTAGCCCACTTACTTGAAACTCACTTTTTAAGAACTGTTTAAGAACAGTTATGAAATGTTTATGTGAAAAATTTGTTTTAAAAGCTTCCACAAATTTTTAGGTCCAAATTATTTGTAAATTAAGCTCTAAACCTTTATAATTTCTGCTTTTAGAGATGGGACAAAAGAAACCAGATGGAATCTTTTGTGGTTATAGCTTTAAATGAAGTGCTTCAGTTTCAGATTCTGCATAGCCTTACCACAAAATCTTAGGAACAGTCTAAATTAACCAAAATTACTTCTTACCATATTGCTCCAGCATTGGAAATCTCAATAAAACTATATAAGAACAGCTATATATGAACATATAAGAACTCTGTCCTCACTTAAAATAAATAATTTGTGTTGCTTGTGTCTGAAGTTCTGATATAGCAGTACCCATAATATAGATACTTTATTGTCTAACATACATACATCAGGGTTACTTTTGTTAAAAATTCATTTTAATATTGCGTTATTTGCATCTAAAACCTTTCCATTTAAACTCGTCATTTATCACCGTGTTGTTGAGTGACACAGGAAATGGTTTTAGATGCATCACTTATTACCTGTCTGAATTGTTAGTGTGAAAGTCTATTGACTGCCCCAACATCTACCCTTAAACTTCCATGATAAGTGAGTTTTCAGTAAAATATCTCAGTACAGAGATACATGTCAAGATTGTTGTTTGTGGTTAATCACCTATAAATACAGATGGGTTTGAAAAAGTTTAGAGTATTTCATTATTGCTTACTTAAGTTCCTGGGTTTTTAAACAACTGTAGAGATAAATAGTATTATTGGGTTTATGGCTTTGGTGATTTTTTTTCTTGAGCAGTATCACTTCACCACCTTAGTGTCTAACCAGAAACAAAAGAAATTCCATAAATCATTCATCCTAAAAAAAAAAAAAAAAAATCAACCCAATTTTATATGACCAATTATTATTAGTGTTTATAAAAACCAAGGCCAAGACTAATCAAGAAGTCAGGAGTATATCAGGGCAGTAATGGCTCACTGGTTATAGCTTTGGGCTGCTGATCAAAAGATAGTGATCAGAGTATATCCCAGTACCACCAAGCTGCTCAACTGTTGTTTTAGATTAAAGCATCAGTGAAATGTAAATGAAACTTACCAATAGGCACAAAAGGCTGGGAGGCAGGACTGGGCCGTGACATGCCAATATTGTTCACAGCATAGACCCTCATCTCATATGCCATTCCCTCAATCATCCTCTTAGCTTCATATGTGGTGTCCTTATAGGGGTCAAAGTTCAGCCGCATCCACCTGTAGCTCTTTTTCTTCTTTCTCTCCAGGACATAGCCTTAGAAGACATAGAGACCAAGGTAAGCTTTTTAATGTGTTGAAATTCAAAGACTTCTTTAAGGCCTAAATTATTGGATTGCATTCTTTCTATTTGAGCAGCATTTACCCAAAATTGGCTGGCCACCATCAAACAGGGGAGGGTCCCACTGGACTACACATGAGTCCTCCCCAACACTGAGGATTCTGGGAGCCTGAGGTGGATCTGGCACATCTGGGGAAATAAAAAAAATCTCATTTAATAAAAGTCAAAACTGTGACTGTGAACATCAGTATTTATACCATATTCCTATAATGAATTGCAAACACACAGAAAGTTGTGGTGAGAGTCTAGACAGCAGCTAAACTTTCAGAGCCATTATCAACACCTACACTCTTTAAAAAAAGGATAACTTTGGATGGTTAAG